ATGGGCTAAATCCTTTGGCTTGTACACACGCTAGGTAGGGCATCTAGGATAACATGGTTAGTATCGAGGGGGACTCATGGAGGCGGTAGGAGATGTCTTGGAGTATACACCAAGTCTTTGGTAGATACAGTCTTGATCTCGTCCAGGCGTGTAGCTTTTGGAGTCTTGGCATATGAAAATAAGGGCCTATGGGACCATCCGACGATTATGGGCCAACTATGTTGGTACCCCCTAGTCTGGGACACCGTCAGTTATTGATTACATTACTAGATTTTATACACACACACACAAATTGGTCATCCTGAGCATAGTAATATTGTTGTGTATGGAGGAATCCCTTGAAGGAGGATGTTGCTCAATTATTTAAGCATTTCACTATAAGAACTGGATGGGGTACTATTTCAAATGGAGTATAATAATCAACTAGGCCGAGATGGGGCCAATGATGGATTTCATTAAAAAAAGGAGCATGTTAAATGGATTTTGAAGTCCTTGTTGGCTGATTTCCACAATGGGACTTCAGAAATTTCTAGATTGAACTATGACTTAGTAACCTTGTTCCTAAGGATGTTAAGTAAATGCAAATATTTAGGTCGATTTTCCTTCTTAATGTCAGTTTTGAAATCATAACTAAGATGTTGGTGAATAGATTAAATGCAGTGGTCGGAAAATTAATTTCTCGTGTCTACTACTTGTGAGCTGCGTTGGGATTTTCCTCGAAGAGGAAGGGTGAAGCAGTACAGTAGTGTTCAATATTTCCTTCAGTGAGAACCAAGGTTATCGAACCAATAGGAGAACCAAGCAAATCTAGTAATCAACACGTGCACACACAAGAGCAAATACTTGCACTCAACGCGGGTAAGAGGGTTGTCAATCCACTTGAACTCGTTACTTGCAAGGATTAAATATGGTAGTGATAGATAGATAAATTGAAAAGTAAAATAAAAAGAGTAAAATTGCATCAAGGTATTTCTGGTTTTAGTAATATGATAAAAGTAGACCCGAGGGCTATAGTTTTCACTAGAGGCTTCTCTCTCGAAACAAAGCATACGGTGGGTAGACAAATTACTATTGGGCAATTGATATAACAGCGCATAGTTATGACGTTATTTATGGCAATGATCATATATATAGGCATCACGTCCGTGACAAGTAGACCAAAATGATTATGCATCTACTACTATTACTCCAACAATCGACCGCTATCCAGCATGCATCTATGTTATTAAGTTCATGACAAACAGAGTAACACTTTAAGCAAGATAACATGATGTAAGAATAAACTCAAGCAATATGATTAAACCCCGTTGTTTTACCCTTAATGGCAACAATACAAATACATGCCTTGCTACACCTTCTGTCACTGGGTGAGGACACCGCAAGATTGAACCCATTACAAAGCACCTCTCCCACCGAAGATAAATCAATCTAGTTGGGCAAACCAAACGGATAGATCGGAGAGAAATACAAAGTTACAATAATCATGCATAATAAAGTTCAGAAAAGACTAAATTACTTTCAATGAATAATCTGATCATAAACCCACAATTCATCGGATCCCAACAAACACACCACAAAAGAAGATTACATCAGACAGAACTCCAAGGAGATCAAGGAGAACATTGTATTGAAGATCAAAGAGAGAGAAAATCCATCTAGCTACTCGCTATGGACCCGTAGGTCTGTGGTGAACTACTCACACATCATCTGTAGGGCAACAAGGTTGATGTAGAAGCAGATCTGTGATCGATTCCCCCTTTGACGGAGTACCAAAAAAGGCCTCCAGATGGGATCTCGGAAGAACGGAAGCTTGCGACGACGGAAAAGTTATTTCGGGTGGCTCTCTGTTGGTTTGGGGATTTATGGGAATTTATAGTGCTGGAATTAGCTCAAATGGAGTTGCGTGGGACCCATGAGCTCAGGTGGCGCTCCCCACTGGGGGGTGCCGTGTGAGATCGTGACTCTCCTGTATATCTTCTAACCTCCTCCCGAACATTCTAAGGTCCCTTCTGGTCTAGAAAAAATCACCATAAAGTTTCATCGTGTTTGGACTTCGTTTGGTACTGATTTTCTGAAAAGTCAAAAACAAGAAAAAATAAGTGGTCCTTTGTCTACAAGATGTTATTGGTAAGTGGATTTCACAATAAGTGGGGGTTGGATTATGGAAATAATGATAGGTGGACATGGTTGGATTGTTACAAATTACGCAACTAAACCTTTTTCACTACTTGTAAGAGGTTGAGATAATGAGATTGCCTCATGGACCAAAGAATAATGTAATAGACTTGTTTTTCTTTTATGTTTAGGGCCAATTTTGGCTTTTCTAGATTAGACATTCTTGCCCTTGTCTTTCCCTCCCCACAAAATATGGTGGTCCTGTGTACAAGGCAGTGAGCCTATAAAGGGCACTCATGAATCAACTATAACATTCTCTCTTTTGGTAGCAAAGTACTCTCACTAAAGGTGTGGCCTAGGTTCCTTTGAGACAATCCACTTTTGGCAACTTGGGCAAAGTGAATTTCCTTCCAAGCTAGGGGCTTAGAGAGGAAATGTCTCGAGGAGAACTTGCATCGTATTGAGTGTTGGTCGATGACACGTGGTTGAGTATCAGAGATGTACTCTTGGTCCACTCCTCGATGGGATTACACCTTGCTCAATTTGGGAATTGTAGTTGAATCCGGTTAAAAACATCATTGTCTGAGAATCTCGAGTACTTGTACGCCTGCGTTTATAATTGTCAAAGTGTGACTATTGCTAGCACCGAAGCACGCCACTGATCAATGATGAGTTGACAA